CAGCACAATGAACCATTTTAATAGCGTGACAACCCTAATTTAAACTTATCTACAAGGTGTAAGATGTAGAAATCAGGTCAGAGAAGGAACCTCTGTGTACGTATTTGAAAATAATTATAGGAGTTGCACCAGAATTCACTCAGCATAGTTAGTACATCTTTGACAGCCATCATTAAATTAACACCTGTAGTATTTGACACTGTATAACAAAAGCTTCCCAGTCCTTAGAATAGTATACAGGTGTGAAATCTCACATATCTCTGTGTTAACTTGCTAAATGTTTATATGGTGACCACTAGCATATTGTATATTAATATGTTTAACTATATTCATATATAAAAAGACAAACATTGACTGTGGACCATCTACAATAAGCAATTTTCTCTTTCAAAATAGACTTGGATCATTGAATTTCATTATACTTTAGGGTTTTTTTTGTAAAATATGTGCTTTAGTTCAAACAGGAATTAATTCAGAGAAGTTGTATGGCTTGCATTGTGCCGGAGGTCAGACTGAATGATTGCATTGGTCCCTTCTGGCGTTATAATCCATGAATCTATTAATTTATTCTTGTGATGACTTAAAACAAGTTTGGCCTATTTAATCTCTAGGTTGAACACTTTTAACGTGGGGAGTATTGGCTTTTGTATGTGTATTTGGGAGCCTATGTTCTGTTCCTTATGTTCTATGAATTGTGTGCGGTTAGCACGTATCAAGGATATAAGCAGCTATGTGTAGTCGTGACTTGCACCAATCAGGGACTGGGACTTTAACTTTGAGGTTTCAAATTAAACCTGTTCTTTGCCAGTTATTTTAAGGCATTCCAACTGTTGGCCACATGCCACGAAGGCTGTGGTTGCTTCCAATGACCATTTCTTTAGCCTGTAAAATTTAGCAAATTGAAAGAATTAATAAATATGAGACTTAACCATGGTTGTTAACACAGCTCCTTCTCCTGCCCCTTCCCCACTTTTTTTTTGAACAGTTTATCACAAATGATATTTCTGACTTCCCCCCCCCCCCCCCCCCCCAAAATTCAACAATAAAGGAAAATTCTGCTAATCCATCATTCTGAAACGCTATCTGGTTTTCAGCTGTTTTGGCAGCACAAGTATCAGCAGTCCAGTTATTAAAATGTTTCTGAAATACAAATCAAAACTTGCCAAATCTTGTGGAGTTATTCAAAATATCTTAAAGATAAACTTATCAGTTTGTAATTTTTAGGAACTTGTTTGTTTATGCATTGCAATATTCATCTGCATTAGCTACTCCCATAAATGGTTTGTGTATAAGACCAGTATGGCATTCTGTTTGTATGATGTACCATAGCTACAAGGTAGTCTGTAACGGAAGTCTTTTTTGGAGAATATTGATTGTTTTTACTGAGGGGTTTTTTTAAAAAAGGAAGTGAGATGAACTGTGGGGAGGAATTTGAAGAACTTTGGAATGGAAGATCATAGAAAACTAAAACTCCAGTCTGTTTGCAAATCAATTTTATCATTTGTTTAGGTAGTTCATTGCTAACATTTGTGAAAATAGCATCAACCTCGGTGCACAGTGCTAGAAGCCTACATGCACTTTCTCACGTCCAGCCATTTAATGAATAGTTTTGGTAGTTAAATTGCTGAAATATCTTGACATTTCAGTTAATATGGTTTTCTTGGTTAATATATAACCTGGGTGTTAAGTTATTTAAAATCAGCATGTTATTTTTATTGCATTTCCATGCCCGCAGCTATGGCACTTGGTGGTATGTCTTCAGCAAGCTAGGAAAGCTTAGACTGGGTCAGTGTTTAGACTGGAAACCTCTGGAAAACCTACTTGATGTGGGGAACTGTTCTTGGTCATTCAATAGGTGACATTCTTCCCTCTGAGACAGTACTGAACCAATTCCCTAATCATAGTTTTAGGATATACTGTGCTAATGGAGTTTTTCCATCATTCTAGTTAAATTAAAAAATGTCTCATCTGTCACAACTGGCTGGTTAAATTGACCGTAATGAAGGAATTTGATATTTGACTTGTAGAATAAAATTTTTAAAATGTATGGTGCTGCTACTACAGCCATATTTTAATTACATTCAGTTTTAGGGCTAAGTGTTGTCTCTCCGATCCCTCTGTGATTTTAAAGCAATGTGTTTTGAAGGCAAACATGATAGACTGTTTCCTTTCCACTTTAACTTACTTTTCTTAAAGCTATGAAAAGCAAACACAAGGAGCAGTAGGAGAGAGAGAGATAAAAACATATTAATTCCTAAAAGTACTGGCTAACTACTGCACTGTCTACCAGAAACTTAGGTGGGTTGAAAACAGAACATGAACTCATTCCACTAAAACAGAAGAGAAAACTGTGTGTATGATAGGAAAAAATCCTAAAATTTTCCACTATGACCAGTTATCTGAACCTATTTCTTAAGAAGCCTTACCAACAGCCTCTTGCAGGTGACTCATATTGGTATGAAGATGTCTGTCTACCCAGATACTTATATAAGTATCAGCACTGTACTGTCTTAGCCCCTCCCAAAATGTAAATAGGACTGCGCTCGCTCACTCTTTCTCTGTCTCCCTTCCATGTTCTTTTGGAGACTTCAAATACGTGAGAAGTTCCAGTGCCCAACTCTGTATCCTTCTAAGAAGAAGAGGCTTA